ATATATATATATATATATATATATATATATATATATATATATATATATATATATATATATATATATATATATATATATATATATATATATATATATATATATATATTTATATATATACATATACATATATATGTATATATATATATATATATATATATATATATATATATATATATATATATATATATATATATATATATATATATATATATATTTATAAATATATATATATATATATATATATATATATATATATATATATATATATATATATATATATATATATATATATATATATATATATATATATAAATGCATGTTTATACACACGGGGGGTAATTTAGAAGCAAACAGACATATATATGTATATTTATATATATATATATTTATATATATACATATACATATATATGTATATATATATATATATATATATATATATATATATATATATATATATATATTTATATATATATATATATATATATATATATATATATATATATATATATATATATATATATATATATATATATATATATATATATGTGTTTTTTCTACCATAATATCAGCACAGAAGAGTGTTTTACCATATATATATATATATATATATATATATATATATATATATATATATATATATATATAAATATATATATATATATATATATATATATATATATATATATTTATATATATACATATACATATATATGTATATATATATATATATATATATATATATATATATATATATATATATATATATATATATATATATATATATTTATAAATATATATATATATATATATATATATATATATATATATATATATATATATATATATATATATATATATATAAATGCATGTTTATACACACGGGGGGTAATTTAGAAGCAAACAGACAACCTGACACACCAAACATAAGAAAAACCATTTTAACAAATGGAATTAAGTAAATTATTATTATTACTATTATTTACGTATATACATATATGTATGTGTGTGTGTGTGTTGCAAACTGACAATTATAGATCTGCCAGACACATTAGTTTTCTGTGTGGCAAAATTAAGAGTGACGAGGAAACGCGAGACAAATATGAATAAATGAATATCACTGATTTACTTTTTTTTTTCACTTCGCAACAGGTAATGCATGTTGTGTGTGTGTGTGTGTGTGTGTGTGTGTGTGTGTGTGTGTGTGTGTGTGTGTGTGTGTGTGTGTGTGTGTGTGTGTGTGTGTGTGTGTGTGTGAGTGTATATGTGTGTGTGCGTGTGCGTGTTTATGTGAGTGTGTATCTGTCTGTATTTATCTATGTATGTATGTATATATGTTTGCATAGGTGAGGAGAGAGGGTGCGCGGGAGATATTCGGTTATATTGCGATTGTTATTACATATACAAGCGTTAATTTTATTATTATTAAACAGACAATCGTTCTCAAGGCAAGGGAAAAAAGACATAGAGTGTATTTGGCAGGCAACGTAGGTACATGCTAAGGGAGGAGGGTGGTGAAGGGAGGTCCATGCCAGCGCCTTCCCTCCTCCTTTGTCACGTCCCCACAGCTTTCGACATCGAAGGTGAGGTCTTGAGAAAGTGATAAGCCTCTTAGATAAAGTGATCATTTCTGTCCTCTCACCAAAAGCGCATGAGGTTGATGCAGTATGTGAAAGCAGAAGACCTAAATGATCCCTCTTCAGTTTGTATGGGTACTAGGTAATTAAGGATAAGTTCGATATGTGAAGCTGAACCTCGCCCGGGCTATGAGGGGAGCCCAGCCTGTGCCGACTAATGTCGACTCGCTAACAGTGTGTCAGCAGGTGCTGACTCGGGTGAGCTTAGTCCTTACCCACCGTAGTGCCCTGCCACAGCAGTAACCTCCAGGCGGCGAACCGCCGACCCCTCGGATGAAAGGCCGACACGTTACCACTGTACTAGCCAGGAGGCTACTAGGTAATTGTTGCAATGCTAATTTTGTAGTCCTTTCATGTTGTATGGAGGCAAGTATGGGATCGCGGCGCGATATTCAAACGCGAATTGGGGGCGCGCACAGTTTTTTTATTATTATTATATGTCACCGATCTACATGGGGTTTCTGATGTTTGAAAGAGCAATCTTTCGTCGATACCGTGTATCAATTATTTTTACGGCATTACAGCATAATGGGTATGTGTTGATATTTGTTAGAAATTATATACATATATTTTCTAAATAAGTATGAGGAATTTGCAAATTCCAGATGCGAGACGGCATTTATGTTAGTATGTATATATGGATTTTTTTCATGATTGTTGCTATTCACAAAGGTTGTGAATATTGTGAAAGCTTATTTACTTTTAAAAAGTAGATTTTTATTTTTTGCACCTTCATTTATAGTCCGATCACAACGAAACTTCATAGGAAATATATTTACATATGTAACTAATACGAGAGAAAAGAAGAGAGAGATTGATTGAGAACTAACGGATTTTGCCGAAAAAGTGGACCCCCCTGAGAAGGAACGACCTCCTGTTGCAAACTTGAGAAAATTTACCCCCATTTCCATTAAATTTCATCCAGAATGGAAGCTAAGGCCCGATGCGTCTTATTCGCTGCAAAATATATTTATTCATGTTGAAAGCAGTGCAGGTAAGTGAGAAAAAGTGGATGAGTGTGAGCGATTATGTGAATAAGATAGGGATATATATATATATATATATATATATATATATATATATATATATATATATATATATATATGTGTGTGTGTGTGTGTGTGTGTGTGTGTGTGTGTGTGTGTATGTATATATATATATACACACACACACACACACACTTACAAATATGTATATATATACGTATATACACACATACATATATATGTATATATGTATATATAAATATATATATATATACATATAAATGTATATATATATATATATATATATATATATATATATATATATATATATATATATATATATATATATATAGGGGTAGCAGGGGCAATCTGTCCCCAGGGAGTTCTGCGTCCCTGCCCCTAGCTAGCAGTTGGGGTCGGGCTGGCAACCCGGTCCCGTAAAAACCCTTACCAGCAGGCAAACCAAGTAAGGAGAGAAGGGGTCGGAGCCATCCCGGAGGAGGTGACTCCGACCCGGACTTGCGGCCGGGGGTTCCTGATCCCTGGCTCGGCGTCCTGACCAGGGGCTTACCTGATCAGGACGACGAGCCTGTTATGACGGGTGTAGGGCAAAGCCCTCCCAGGGAATCCTGCACCCTGAGGTTACGTGGTGGGGGGGATGGCCCCCCCGGCCCCCACTCTTCCTCCTTGGGAGGCATGCCTGGTTGTGCCGAGGCGTCGCCCGGCTGGAGCCCCACAAATGGGGTCAATCTGCGGCGAGCGTGCCGTGTAGCGGCCTGGAACATCCTCAGTCTCTCGGAGGATGATCGACTGCCTTTGTTGTCAGGGGAGCTGGGGAGGCTGGGGATTGCCATCGCTGCTCTCTCTGA